AGGTCTTCTCATCTGTTGGGTTGGTGTTGAGTCTCTCTTGGATATCCTACCACTACTTTGCAATAAAGTGACATTGTATATTTGGGATTTTCACAACTCCATTGCCTTGGGATGAAACTGATGAAGGATTCAAAAAAGTATTATGTGGTGGTATAAGATACAGAAGGAGAAAACATGGGGATGAGGAGAGATGGACAGACTGGCAACTGAGCAGTCAAGTATACAAGATTTGCCATAAAGTTTGAAAAATTAGACTTAAAAATGGCTGGACTTTTTAGACACTGAAGTCATTCCAAGGAGAAATGTTTACTACTGAGTGGGTAAAGTAGAGTTACTCCTGGGAATAAGGATGTAGACATAGGAAGAGTGTTGCCAGCTCCTAAAGGCAAAACCATCATATTCTAGTTTGGAAGGAGCTTTGAATCAAAGTTATCAACCCACTCTCTTAGAATTTTGTATATGAATAGCGTGGCCACTTGAGAAGACAACTTATTTTTCCACAACCTAAAATTAAAAGAGGAAAACACCCTTTGATGAAATTAATCATTTAGTGGGCATCTCGGGAGACAGTTTCTTCTGCTTGATCATCATTACAGTATTTGAACAAAAGGTTATGCAACACTTATAATGAGTTTAAAATGTATTAAGACATTAAACTGGAAAAAGATCATCACAGGAATCATGACCTCCTTGTAGGCAATCGATTTTTGGCCAAATATGGTGTGGAAAGTGTAAAATTACAAAAATAGTATAGAAAATTAGCAAATATTATGTAATGGGCCAAAAGTAGACGGTTTAGATAATCAAACCAATTTTTCCTTAGCTCAGTCAGCATTTTCATTAAGATGAGCAGTGACAGAGAGAAGTCACCTTTTGTTACTGTTCCATTTTAGACTGTATAAGCAAAGGACAAGCATTCATTCTTATCTGAATGCATGGCAAGACAGTTCATCTCCCACACACCCTACAAAAGAAAGTCTCAGGCAGATCAAGTCTGCTGTTGGATATAGCTATCAAAGAATGAGAAAACACCACAATTGCAGAGGTACAAGATCCTGTGCTGTCCAAGCTGTTAGAAAATAGAGGTCTAGGAGTCCAGGAAGGTGTATACATCTCAGACAAGGCGTTTCTTCTACATTTGAAAAAAAAAATCTTTGATTTCAAAACCTTTTACAGTAATAATTGGAATTAGTGAAAAATTAGTGTCAAGAAGCCATATTCCATAGCCAGAGAGTAACATAGTTCACAGTGTTGTCATTGAAAAGAATGACACAACTGGTACCTCTCATACGTATTGTTTTCAGCTGCCTGGATATCTAAGTTCACCTTTCTGTACTATCTGATTTTTAGATTATCTTTGTTACTAGACATGATCAAAACCCTCCCTCTCCATGACTCTACAGACGTATGCTTATGAGTTTAAGCTTACCTGCTTTGAGTTTGTTAAATAGAGTTTTGCGCCCAAATTTAAGATCTGCAACTTTACAAGGTCATCTTCGTTAATGAAGCTCTTGGCTGTCTTTCTCAAAACATCAGGTGCAATTTTTGGAACACGTTCACAGTACTCACCGATGAGCCAGAGAATGCTGGCTCTGGCTACCGGGACCTGAGAAAACATTGAGCACTCTAAGAACACATTCACAAAGAATTCTTGTGTACTTCTACATGTTTATGTTCAGTAACAAGTTAAATAAAATACTGTTTAAAGACAATTGCCATGCAAGGAATACAGACCCAAACTAAATACTGTTCAATATGGCCACTGTGGTAGACTGAATATTCATATAAATGTAAGAAACAGATCCTGCCCAAAAAACATGCATTATG